CAGATTCATCCATGTCGTGAGATGTTTTGCAGATGAATCATTGTTCTTCATCATTACATAGTATCCCATTGTGTGTCTGTACTGTAATTTGTTTATTCATCTGTTGATGGGCTTTAGGTTGTTTCCATCATTTTGTTATTGTGAATTATGCTCAGTGAACATGGGTTTGTATGTGTCTATTTGTGTGGTGGCTCTTTATTTCTCTAGGATGTATTCCTAGGAGTGGGATCGTTGAATCGTATGGTGTTTCTATTTCTAGCTTTTAAGGAGGTGCCATATCATTTTCCATAGTGGTTCAAATTGCACTTTTAATAATGTTTATTCACTAGTAAAAAGTGAAGTTAGACTGTACTGCCCTCCAGGAATTGAGCCATAGATAGTCATGGTTAACACATTTCTTCTCTTTTTCCCCCTATTTAAAGTAGGCAAGTACCATCAATAGACCTTCTTCACTAGCCTAGAAGGTTCTTTCTTTGCATTGTCTTTTTTGAAGACCAGTGGCTTTTGGCTAGATGAAATCTCACTCACTCAAGCCTGTGAAAGGGAATAGTTCTCCCCACCCCTCCTTAGTCTCATCCTTCCTGTATTTTCTAGATCCCAAGTTAAATTTCTGATATCCCACACTTGACCAGCGTTAAAAGGGTTATAATTTCTCCATACCCTGGGTTCATATTTTTTCCTGATTTTTCAGCAGGCCTCCTATCTAGACTGTCGTAGTCCGAGAAGATTTCAGGATGCAAACTAAGAACAATTATATATAGGGAAAACAATATATTTTAGTTATTGGTCAGCAAAGCAAGCCTTAAAATATCAATTATTCTCTTCAGGGATTCTTTGATATCATTCCACTTTTTAATCCAAAGACCTGATGCTTAGATGCTTGGACTTACATAGTTTTTTTCCCTATTCTTTCTGTGGGACAAGGAACTAGGTTTGGCATTTTGACTCTGGTTTCTGAAAATAACCTGAGCAATCAAGATGCCTTTGTTTTCTAAAAGAGCCAAGCAAGTAGGGGCTACACAGTCCCCACACATGGCAAACTAACTTCAGGAAGGGAGGGAACCTAATGCAGTCTTCCTTCTCATTGACTGGATGGGTCGTAACTATGCATTAAGGCCCAGATGCCTGTTCATTTAGGGCCCAGTGGCTAGGAGACCTGGATCCTTGGATTGCTGTCTTGGGCCTTGTGGGTTGGTGAGAACATCCATGCATGGGAGAGGAACATCTGTGCATGGGAGAGGGAGTAGCACGTCCCTGGGGACAGTGGAGACCCCGTGCCAGAAACTCTCCCAAGCCTTCCTTAATGCATCTCTACTCTTGTCTCCTTTCTGATTTTAATAAATGGATAACTGTAAGTATAGGTAATAGTTTCCGTGAGTTCTATGAGTCATTCTAGTGAATTATCGAACCCACCGGGGGCAATGAGAACCAGCAGAGAGACTGCTGTTTACCTATTCGGCAGGGACTAGGGGAAGGGGAAGAGGGAGAATGCTGACACATTGCAGTCTTAACTTGTGGAGATCCAATTCTGAGTGGTTAGAGTCAGAGAGACAAAGCGCCCTGTGGGTGGCAGCTATCAGAATGATGAAGTAGGAAAGTGAGGATATGAGTTAAATTTCGCATTTTGGAAATTAGCTTTATGTTGGCTGTTATTCATACACTGTCCTGTAAGTTCTATCTTCCTTTTGATCCAAGAGAAAAAATTCTTTCTTGGATGCACCTCAGGTTCACACCCTTTTGGTCTCAGCTATCTCTGCAGCCTCCTTCCTCACTGCATTGGGACAGAGTCTGTACTTCTACGTTATTCTTTAAGTACATATTTTTTGTTTTTCCATCTTCCCCACGTTGGGAAGACTTGGATTTCCTCCTTGGTCATAGGCTTCCCTAGCCTCTCCCTTCTCCACTATTGCTTCTAGCTCTTCTAGTCACTCTTCTCTTCACTAAATCCTTTGTGGCTGCCCATAGTTCTCTTCCATGCTGTTCCCACCCAGAAAATCTTGAGACTGGCTGGATTTCATTCCTCCCAAACAATGCCAGTCTGTACTGCTACATGGTTGCATTTTTTTTAGCATCATGATCTTGTCTTAGATAGCTCAGTGGTCTACTGTTACTACATTTAAATGCTCAAAGCCCTCTGTGTACACTTTAGTGCATGTGCCCTAAGAAAGGAATACCTTTTGAAAGAGAAGACTGTCCTATTCGCCCACATATCTTAGTACAGTGTCTAGCACGTAGTCAATGCTTAACCTGCTGAAGAAGTGAATGAATTTTTAGTTTTACTTCCAAGGTGTACATGTCAAAAAAGTGATGATGATTAAGTTAGTCCTTTTACCTTGTCTAGTACTTAGTTTTATTTAGTTGAAAGATACTCAGTGTTGTCAAAATTACCTTTTACTAATAATTTGAAAGTTTCTATTATGTATTAGGAGGAGCCCTCGTGGCACAATGGCTAAGTGCTTGACTGCTAACCAAAAGGTTAACAGCTTCAACCCACCAGCAGCTCCGTGGGAGAAAAGACCTGGCAGTCTGCTCCTGTAAAGATTTACAGTTCTATTCTGTCCTATAGGGTCGCTAGGAGTCAGAATCGACTCAACAGCACACAACCACCACCACCTTATATAGTAGATATTATTTTTAGTTTTAACCTCATTAGAAATTAAGTTTTATCTTTTTTATAACAAAACTCATTGTTAAAATATAAAGAATAAGCTCAACTATATGAGGTTGGAAATTGTACAGTAATTTAGTTGTAAGCTTTGAAATGCACTTCATTATTTTTGAGGCTAGTCACCAGACTAGTTATTCCAGTTGGTGAATAGATCTTTCGCTGGTGGCTTCCACCAAGCCTGCTGATTGCTTTATTACCCAGGTTGGCAGCTATAATTTATATTTCCTCTAACAAGTTCCTGATATTTCATAAAAATGAAGTGTTTCTAGAAATTAAAAAATTTAATCAACTGAGGGAGTATAAATTGCATGTTTTCAATAAAAGGGTAATTTTTTTTCCACTTTGATGAATTTTTTTTTTAATTTTTTTTTATTGTACTTTAGGTGAAGGTTTACAGAACAAATATTTTCTCATTAAACAGTACACATATTGTTTAATGACATTGGTTAACAACCCCACAACACGTCAACACGCTCCCTTCTTGGCCTTGGAGGACTTTTGTTTTTGTTTTTTGGTGAGGATATACATATATACATAGCCAAAGATACACCATCTCAAAAATGTCTACATGTACAATTCAGTGACGTTGATTACGTTCTTCCAGTTGTGCTGCTATTCTCACTTTAGACGAAGGTTTACAGAACAAAATAGTTTCTCATTAAACAGTTAGTACACATATTGCCCTGTGACAATGGTTAACAACCCCACTACATGTCAACACTGTCCTTACTCAACCTTGAGTTCCCTATCACCAGCTTTCCTGTCCCCTCCTGCCTTCTAGTCTTTGTCCCTGGACTGCTGTGCCTCATTAGTCCCGTTTGGTTTTATGGGGCTGTCCAATGCCCTGCTGAAGGGTAAACCTCGGGAGTGACTTCACCACTGAGCTAAAAGGGTGTCTGGGTGCCATACTCTCAGGGTTTCTCCAGTCTCTGTGAGGCCAGTAAATCTGGTCTTTTTTTGTGTGTTAGAATTTTGTTCTACATCCTTTTCCAGCTCTGTCCAGAACCCTCTGTTGTGATCCCGGTCAGAGCAGTCAGTGGTGGTCGCCGGGCACCATCCAGCTGTACTGGACTCAGTCTGGTGGAGGCCTTGGTTGCTGTAGTCCATTAGTCCTTTGGACTATTCCTTTCCTTGTATCCTGTTCTCTTCATTCTCCCTGCTCCTAAAGGGGTGAGAACAATGGAGTATCTTAGATGGCTGCTCACAGGCTTTTAAAACCGCAGACACTATTCACCAAGGTAGAATGTAGAACATTGTCTTTATAAACTGTTTTGCCAGTTGAGCTAGATGTTCCCTGAGACCATGGTCCCCACAGCCCTTTGCCCAGCAGTTCAGATCCCTCAGGGAGTTTGGATGTGTCTATGGAGCTTCCATGACCTTTCCTTGTACAAGTTGTGCTGACTTCCCCAGTATTGTGTACTGTCTTAAAAAGGGTAATTTTTTTTTACAAATGAATAGTCCCAGGACAGTGATAGTAGGAGAGAACATATACATTCTCCTAGTGCCACTGCTTCCCAGCCTGGCATGCATGGAGGTACGCACAGTTACAGGGTACGCATAGCACGTGTTCCCAGGGTGTCGTTTTTATTTGGATGAAGGTAATTTATTTTTGTGTTAAAATTGAAGGTGTATCATACAGGTGAATTTGGAGTTCACGTGCATTTTTTCGGATAAAAATGGAGATTTTAGAAAAATGGTTTCTTTGCACCTGAGTGCTAGAGTATATATTTACCTTTTCTGTTTTTTAACTGATTTCATTTTAAAGCAAAGAAAGAAGCTCAAGAAAGTTAACAGAGTCGGAATGAGAAAAGGCCTCTTGTCACTACCCCATGTTCTTGTCTTTTTACCAGTGTTTCCCAGACTTTTCATTCCCAAGTGATCTGCCTGTCCCTTAACCTAAGCCCTGTCACAGGACCCCTAAGTTTCGAAAGATGCGTCTGTTAGATAAACTATTTTACTATATTTTGGTTCATCAGAGTCAAAGGAACTGCAGGTTAGAGTTTCTGATCAAAATTGGCTAACTAGTAGCCAAACTGAATTGATAAAACTTTGGCAAAGAAATTCTTTTTGGAGGGTAATGGGCATATTACAGAATGCTTTGGGAAATAATGAAAACGGTTTGCCAATCAGCATTATTACCATCTCGGGGCCTTGTGGGCAGGAGGAACCCTGGGAGTGCTGAGGCTCCAGGTTCTGTACCCCGCCCTGCTCTTTAGCCTGCTGTCTCGAAATTTAAAACCTGTGGTTATTGGATGACTGTAAAGACAATGCCTGTGTTTCAGAGTGAACATGGTGAATTGATGCCTTTATTTCTTTTTCTTTTTGCACATAGATTGAATATGAAAGGAAAAAGAAAGAAGATGGAAAGCGAGCTCGAGCTGATAAACAACATGTTTTAGACATGCTGTTTTCAGCTTTTGAGAAGCATCAATATTATAATCTTAAGGACTTGGTGGACATCACAAAACAGCCTGTGGTATGTATATGTTCAAATTGATCCTTTAAGTATGTCTTGCTTTGCAAACATGTCATTACTGAAGAGAAGTGAGGAAGTTAACATTCGCCCATGCTAATGTCAGATTTTATTTCAACACTCAAAAAAGATGTCTTAATGCAGCCTGTTTTTTATAACATCGGCTTATTTTAGATTTCAAACAAATTTAATATCAGCTCTTCCATATGAAGAAAAGGTGGAATTATCCTCTTTGACTTATCCTTGACATTAAGCCTAAAGTCTCTGTTTATATCATTTCTAGTTATTTTAAGTCATACTGGTCTGTCATGGTGAGAAAATTATCCCCATTTTGTGGGCTATTCTCTGTGGATTTTTTTTTAATCAAAGTCTACCTACCACTAGTGGCTTTTAAATAGAGTTACACTGCCCGTTCAAGTTATACTTGTTGAGGTTTGTAGTTAGATTGACCTGTTCTTCATTTTTAAGGTAAGTTTAATAAGTTAATATTTTAGAAAGTTTATCTTTGTTCCATAAATAATCTTTTTAAAAAAAAAAAATATCTTGTCCAGACTTTTCTGCCTGTTTGCTAATACTTCCTATTTCTAGTCGTTTAAAAAGCCAATTAACAAGTAAGGGATCCTATCCTTTCTCTAGTCTCGGAGTCACATTTTTTTCCATTTAACTTCCCCATACCTAATGTTATCAAAGTATCAGATTCAGTTATAACTGTATTTACTTATAGGTTAAAAAAATTAAATGACAGCCCTTTTATTCTCTGTCCTTTTTTTCCAGTTTTCTTTATCATTTTTTCCACTTTGCTGGTATACTCAAGAATGTTAATCTAGCTATTCCGTTTATTCTGAATACATAACAAGATAACCAATTTTTAAAAACATCTTAACATAACCAAATAACCTATTTATTGAAGGGTTGGGCATATTTTTTATGATTTATGCAAACCTTTAGCAAATGATTTACGGAACTTCAGTGTTGATTCTGCAGAGATTTCTTTACTGTTATACATCAGCCTTTCACATTTTTCATTAAGAAATTCATTTAAATTTCAAAAGAACTAAATACCTTTTTTTAATAGGGAAGAAGAAAGTGCTCATGCTGCAGTATTACCAATTCATCTTCATGACTTCAGTCCTTTCAACATCAAAGCCTTACAAATGGCATTCCAAGCTAGATTAAAAATTTAACATAGAATAATTCATTAGCTAAGCTGTGTTTCTTCTGGTTTTAATGAATTTTTTCTTCATATGCATACACGACAGACACCCACACATATACACGTTATTCCATAAACTCTGAAAGCAGGCACGATAGTCTTATGGAATAACAAATGTAAAAAAAATTAGATCTGAGAAAATAAGCATATAGAGGGACATGCAGATGATACTAGAGAAAACAATACATTTTCCTTAAATGGGATGACATTGTTTTTATAGTTTATTCATTTTGCATCAAAGAAAAAGGATTACTAGTATTTCTCTCAATTTTGGTTTTTCGGATAATTTTTATGTGATGGTACTCAGTGACTCTCTTGTAATAGAGCTTCTTAACTCAGTAGATGGGCTTTAGGGAATGCATTAGCCTCTTGAATATGTACAAAACTATGTGGATTTTTCTGGGAAGCAAGTCCATAGCTTTCATTAGATTCTTATAGCAGGTCTGGGGCCTAAAAGAGCTTAACAGCTGCTGATTTAAAAACTAAATTAGCTTATAACAGGCTAGCTTCTTATTTTAGTTTTATCATTTCTAGAGTCTAAATTGTTCATGAAGCAGACAATTCTTAACGGCAGGATTGTTTATTATTTTTATCTCTAAATGTTTATACACATAGTAGAAACTCGGTAAGTATTTGCTAAATTAGATTGCACAAAGGGGAAATGGTTACATCCTCAGTATCCAAGGACTGCCATACTTGCCTCAGATGGCTTTTGGACAGGCCACGCTTGTGGGGCAAAGAGCCAGTCTCACAAACGTGTGTCATGCCTGCACCTGGCTGGAAGTAGGCCACGGCTAGAGTTACCCTCGCCTAGAGGAGAGGACAGGAGGGCAGGGAGCACTCAGCGTGGATTCCACTCCTGCAGTTTACCTGAGTGAGACCTGGGTAAATCATTTCTTCTCTCTCGGTTTCTATTCCTAAAACTGCGAGAGTTGGACTAGACAATTTCTGTGATCTCTTCCAGCTCTAAATCTGTGATTCTCCCCCTTTCCTATTTCATTTCCTCCTTTCTACCTCTGTCTCATATTTAAACTGGGTTGGCAAATCCCATTGACCAAGAGAGTAGCCAGAGTTTAGCTCTTCTCCATGCAAGTAACTGTCTCCTTTAAAAGGTTCACAGAATATCAGAGACTATACTAATGGCCATCAGTCACCCTTGCTAATTTCATTTTAGTATGAGCAATACCTGAGAGATCAGAGATGCAGGAAAGTGGGCTTCCTGGTATAATGGAACAAACACAGGATTTGGAATAATGGGACCTCAGTTCAAGTCCCAGCCCTGCCATTTAACCAAATAGTCCTGTCCAAGGTACTTAAATACATTGTAGTTAATATTTAATATGTTGTTGTTGTTGTTGTGTGCTGTCAAGTTAGTTCCGACTCGTAGCAACCTTATAGGACAGAGTAGAACTGCCCCATAGAGTTTTCAAAGCTGTATTCTTTACGGGAGCAGATCACCAGATCTTTTCTCCTGAGGAGCCAATGGTAGGTTCAAAGCACTGGCCTTTCAATTAGCAGCCAAGCACTTACTCATGGCACTACCAGGGCTCCTCATTTAATGAAGTGTTTACTATTTAATTTACTTAACGTGGCATTTTTAATATAAAATTTACCAATATGTCCAGATTATTGTATACTACATAAATATGTTTAAAATAATACCTAGTTTATAGAAAAGTTGAATTGGCAAAAGTAGTGTAATAAATACATTTTCAACAACAAAGAGTAGCTGCTGAGGCTGCTTATGTACAACCAAAAACCTCATGGGATTTGGTTTCTTGATTTGGAGATTTAGGGTCATAGTGTCAGGAGACATCCCAGTTAATTGGCCTAATAACATGTTTAGTGCCTATGTTCTATCTCCTAGTTCAGTGTATAGTGCCTGGGGTTGTAAATGCTTGTAAGCAGCCATCAAAGGCCCAACAGTTGATCTGTATTCACCTGGAACAACAGAGGAAGAAGGGGAACTGGGAATAGGAGGAGGAAATGGAATGTGTGGCTGTTTGCCTCCATGAACAACTGCCTCCTTTGCCATGGGACCAGAAGAACTGAATGGTGCCTGGCTACCATTCCTGAACATTTTGATCAAAGATTCCATAGAAGAATCCTGATCAAAAGGGGGGAAATGCAGAACAGGATTTTAAATTCTCATAGACTCCAGACTTCCTGGAGCCATGAAGGTTGGATGAACCCCTGAAACTATTGCCCTGAGATAACCTTTAAACCTTAAACCAAAAATATCCCCTGAAATCTTCTTCAAACCAAGTAAGAGTTTAGCTTAACTAGTAAAAAATGTCTGCCTTGAGCATTGTGCTCTTTTAAGAACTATCTATATAGGATCCGACTGATAACAGCAACTTTAAAGATTAGATAGGAACCTTAGGGGGCAGTGAATTTATGTTAATGGGGGAGGAACAACTCAGAAAAGGAGGACGAGAATGGTTGCACAACTCAAAGAATGTAATCAGTGCCACTAAATGGTACATGTAGAAACTGTTGAATTGGTGTATGTTTTGCTGTGTATATTCTCAACAACAACAAAAAAATTTTTTTAATCCTAATTTACAGAAAAGAAATATTACTCGTGTCAGTCAGTTCTGTGGTCTATGTGTGCATTTAATGGCATTCTTATAAAGTAGCCTTTCATTTTCTGATGACTCCCAGTGCCACTTTTGATAAAAAGTTTCTAACCTTGGAGTATATCATTTTAACACACACCCTCTTGGTTATTAGCAGCACTACTATATTCTTTAGTTACCATCTGCTTTCTGACCTTTTAGAATGTCATTTTTGACATATTCTGAGTGAATCTGAAGTATTCTCTTGTTTTTCCATTTCCTTCCTTTCTATATTAATTCTTCTTCCTAAAGACCTTCACTTCTACAAGCCATAGTATTGATTAGAGAAACTGTCCTTGGGAACAGCCTTTCTCTCATTCACTCATATGTGACTTGCCTAATCAACCAGAAAGAGGTAAAGTCACACGTGGTATCCATTTCAAGGGGTATTTTTATGTGGTTCAACTTTTGGCTTTTTTTCTTCCTCTGAAATGAAAGAAGAAGTCTGTTTTTTCTCCCTTGGTACTCTTTGATCTTTCAACCTTGAACGTGTTATATCTAGTCTTTCTTCATATTTTATTATATCCATAAAATAGAAGCGTATTCAGCATTGCTGTAGAAAATACAAACCATTAGAAACTTTACCTAATTGCTTCCTTTGAGACACCAAACTGCCAAGACCACTTTGAGTCCTCTTTAAAATTGTTCTAAAACACAACACCAATTTATCATGTTCATTTACCCATACGTTTCTGTTAAGAGTATCGTTGAAAACCAGCTCTGATTGTAACTGAACTTCTTAGTTTCCTTGTGCCCTGTTCACCCAACTTTAGATCAGGGAAATTATTGATGATCTCTTCTACATCACTAGTGCCCAATCATGTCAATCCAGTGGACCATTTTTTAAATTGAGAATATGCTGTTGAGCAGTCTGTATGTTTTTATTGAAGTAGGTTTAAATCAACAGAACAAACTGGGCAAAGATAATGCATGGCCTTGATTTTTGGAGCAGGTTGGAGTCCCGCTCTAAATAACGCCCAACAGGCAGTTGTTTATTTGCTCCAGGTAGGCTTTTCATCAATAAAACCATTACACTGGTTTTGGGATCAGCAATAAGGTGATGTTAACCTAATCCTCAGAGTTTTTTCACACAGGCCTAAGTAAGTGCTTGAAAAAAGTAATTTAAGCAAAATTTGGAATCAGTAAGATACAAGAAGATGTACATTTTGAAA